GCGCATCGACCCGCCGCTACGGGTGCCACCGAAGGAGGGCACGGAGGTCCGTGCGCAGTACGCGTTCACGAGTGTGCTTGGCCGCAAGGTCGTCTCGCTTAAGCTTACGACGCTCGCGAGGCCCGGCGGCGGGACGGGCACGAAGAAGGTTATGGCGCGCGTCGGTGGAGGGTGGATCGATCTTGCGGTTTGGCTTAGCAGCAGATCCGCGTGATGCCCCCCCCTTCCCTGTGCCCGCACACCGCACACCGCATCCCTTATGCTTGCTCTCGCGCTATGTATTCGCATTCGCTCTCATGCCTTTCTTATTTGCGCTACGACCCTCACGCACATGCCCGACCGCGCGCATACCTCGCACATACCCCTCGCGCCACATACACATTCACTCTCTTCCCTCCCTCCTTTTCGCTCATCAATTTCCCTCACGCGCATCCACCCCCGCCGTTTGATTACTCCCTATGCACTATGCATCGTTGTCGGGCCCTTACGATAGTTCTTACGATAGCACCTTGCACCTACAGCTTTGTCGTCCTCGTCATGGAGTCGCCTAATAGGAACTTTTTGAGTATGAGACAGCGAGTGTGAGGGCAATGGGGAGGTATGTGAGAGTCAATGGGTAAGCGGAACGGTGGGGCCCAGTGAAGGTTTTCTAACTACCCGATCATCGAAAGGTGCGTGCACTTCTGGCGACGTGCGCGTCGTTGTGGCTCAAATTCAGAGAATATGGTGATATTGTCGCCAAATCTCGCGATAGCGCCGGAGCCTTGGCATGCGCACAAAAACAGTGTGCACTCAGGGCTCAGCCATGCGCGGAGTGATAGTCCTCGCATCCCTAAACATTCGAACCACACGCGTAATTTCGAAAACGACCCCGACTCAAGCTCGTAGGGTCGTACCAACTGGTGGCAAGCAAGAACATAACGCCTGATAGAGACGAGAGCGCTGGTTTCTTATGGGCGAGCTTTCTCTGGCGTGTGTAGGCGAGAGAAGACATACTCAGATAGCCGGCAGTTGGTCAAGTTCATCATAAGTGTTGAGGCGCCCCTGGATGCGCCAGCTCACATTGCAGGATATTCAACGCCCATCAACCAAACCTAAGCGCGCCAGCAGGTCCAAAGAAGTGATGAAAGACACGCCGCACGTGTCGGACTTCCAAGGATGAAGTCATCTAGTTGATCACCTCGCGCGCCCTCGTGCAACATATAGCGCATGTACGCCGCGCTGCCTGGGCACAGACCAGATAGATCGCGAGACTGAAATGGACGTGCCGGTTACTGAGGCCGGTGTGTGTACGCGTCGAAACACGCTGACAGAGGACAACACGGGTCCATGGACTGGATTCGGCAGGCTAGACGCGGCCTGGGCCTGTGCACGAACCAGATGCAGTCGGACAAATGGCACTCAGTGCAAGATGCAGACTCGTTGATTCGGCGGCCGGCCAGCACAGTACGCGCACTGTGATTCTAATCCCTCTGCATCCCAGCCCTATGCCTAGTTTGCCCGCTCGCGCTCCAACTTGAGGTAGTACTCCTCCTGACGGCGCTCTGCGGATGTCAGAGTAAGAAAGCTAAAGTGCAGGCCAAAGAAGGCGGAAAGAATGTGCGCACGGGCAGGGATGTGGTAGTAATACCTGTGCAGGCGAAACGAGCGTGAGCGCGCCAGAAAGCGGAAAAAGACACGCGACAGTGCTTACCACCAGCCGTAAGCAGCAGAGATACCGAGACCGAGGGAAGTGGTGAGGTCAAGCCAGAGGCGCTTCCTGAGCTTTCCGGTGATAGGCGCAATCGGCATGGTTGGCTTCGGTTGAAAAGGTAGTGGGTCGTTCGAGGAGGAAGTTGACAGAGGCTGGCAGGGTGGAATCGGAACGCGTGCCGCGTGGGTGATGATAGTCGGTGTGCCAAACACAGCCAAACACGTGCCATCCCTCCTGCCAGCCGCTCGTTTAGGTCTGCTCACCGTTTGACCCTTCACCCACCTGCTAGCCCCTTCCCCGCCTCGTCTACTTTCCTGTTCTTCGTCCGGGAGACGACTCCGACGAATACACCTGTAACGCACGCTGTATCGCCGCGAAACTACTCTGCAAATTGACCGAGGCCACCCTTAGGAATTCCTATTACGCTCCGCATCTGACACACTCATGGACACCGATGCGACGGGCTGGCGTTTCGCCCAATGTTTCGGCGACAAGGGAGAGGTAGAGGATATCACAGAAGGTTCGTATCTGCTCGCTCTTTGTCTGCGGACCACCAGACATCGCCGCACGCCCGTCGAGGTGTTGTGTGGGGCAAGGGGTCTTGGCTTATCAAGCATGCTAACCTTCTCTCTCCGGTCCAGCCGACATCATCTCCACTGTCGAGTTTGACTCAACAGGAAACTATCTCGCTACAGGCGACAAGGGTGGCCGCGTCGTTCTATTCGAGCGTAATGACCAGGTCCGTGTCGTCCATAGTCGGTCGTCTGGCCTCCACACTCCTACACCGATCGGTACAATCATCTCATAACCTTCTCGCCATCACCACAGAAAAAAGGCTGTGAATATAAGTTCTACACGGAGTTCCAGTCGCACGAGCCAGAGTTTGACTACCTCAAGTCGCTTGAGATTGAGGAGAAGATCAACAAGATTAGGTGGTGCAAACGGCAGAACGCCGCCCATTTCTTACTCTCCACTAATGGTGCGTGTCTACTCGTTCTCGTCGGACCAGACGTGCACGACACGGCCCTATAAAGCGCGAGCACGTTGTTCACACGCAGTCTTGTGCGGGGTTCTTGATCGCGATTGCGACCGCCCAATTTGGGCTGGCCTGGGCTTCCTGATCAGTCCTATAGCGCTTATCGACGTTCTCGCTGTCCTCGCGCCCCACGCTAAAGCCTTGCTCAACGTGGTTGTATGACGAGGATGTACCCTGCGTATCCACGGAGAGCGAGTAGGCCCACTGGCGAGAGTGTTTCCCACGTTGCATCGATGCTACGGATTTTGTCCGCGCCTCCGCGACCGATTTTGCCCTCTGCAGCGTTCGCAATGATCTTCCGGCGCGCTGGCAGCGCACGATATCCGGTTATGAACATTGCTGACGTGCTTTCCCGGCAGACAAGACAATAAAGCTGTGGAAAGTGTTCGAGAAATCGCTCCGTGTCGTGTCAGAGTCGAACATGATGGAGGGTCAGCGAAGTGTGCCACCACCGCAACTACGCCAGCACCTTCGCCTACCGCGCATGGCGCTGCAGGACAACATTATCGCTGCCGTGCCCCGTAAGGTTTACTCGAACGCACACGCATACCACATACATTCCATTGCGGTCAACTCGGACCAGGAGACATACATCTCCGCTGATGATCTGCGAATAAACTTGTGGAATCTCAACATCTCGGACCAGTCGTTTAGTACGTAGTTTTCTGGATCTTGAAGGTCGCTGAGCCGACATGACGTCATTGTAGACATCGTGGACATCAAACCAGCAAACATGGAAGAGCTGACGGAGGTCATCACCGCGGCAGAGTTCCACCCCACACAGTGCAACGTGTTCATGTACTCAAGCTCCAAGAGCAACATCAAGCTTGCAGATATGCGCGACTCAGCACTGTGCGACCGACATGCCAAACGTACGTCTCAAGCCCCACCCCACCCTCTTCTCACCCGTGTATTTATCATTTTCACGTAGTGTTTGAGGAAGAGGAGGACCCGACGAACCGGTCGTTCTTTAGCGAGATTATCTCATCGATCTCGGACGTCAAGTTCAGCCACGACGGGCGGTACATCCTCAGTCGCGACTACCTCTCGCTCAAGATATGGGATGTCAACATGGAGAGCCGCCCTGTCAAGACAATTCAGATTCACGATCACCTTCGTGGGAAACTGTGCGACCTGTATGAGAACGACTGCATCTTTGACAAGTTCGAGTGCACGTGGTCCGGGGACGACAAGTAAGCACAATTTCATTGCTCGCTCCTCACATTCTATGATGTCAAGGGACGGAGAATCTGATCGTGTGGCTGCCAGGAACGTTTTGACGGGCTCGTACCACAACTATCTGCGGATATTCGACGTCGAGACGCTGAACGACGTCGTGCTCCAGGCGGACAAGTCGGCATTCAAGGCCAAGAAGGTCGGCGGGCCGTTGCCGGGCAATAAGCCACTCGGCGGCGCGGGTGCGAAGAACGGGATGCGGCAGGGGCTCAAGGACGCGATGCAGCTCGACACGCTCGACTTCAACAAGAAGATCTTGCATGCGAGCTGGCATCCGAGGGAGAACACGATCGCGGTACGTGCGCTCCGCGCTTGCTTGACATGCGACTTAAAGAAAATGTCATTGTGTAGATCGCGGCGACGAACAACCTGTTCCTCTACAGTGCGGCATGACCACGCTGTCTCCCCGCTCACCCACCCGTTTCCTTCCGCCTCCCCTCTCTGCATCCTCCCTGACCTTCCACGTACCCCGCAGCCGCACACGCACCCGGTACAGCACCGACCGGACACTGCCTCGCTACACCACGCTCCTTCCTTTTCTGCCGACCGTGCGTCGATACCCTCTCACTCCGCATACTCTATCTGCCTGTCTGTACGCCAGCGCCGTCGTTACTGTGCGCTCTGCTGTGTGTCCCCGCCGCGTCTTTCGCATTTCCATTCACTACCGCACCTGCACCCGCCCCACGCCCCCATCCACACCACCCACCCCTCATCCGCCCGCCGCTGAACACTTACAATGGACTTGGGCTAGTCCATGAGAAGAAGGAAAGAATAGAAGTACTACACTGAGAAGTTAATTTATGCATGATGCCTCAATCTTAAGCTTGAGCTTCGCGGGCAAGAATGTGAGGGCTGTAAATGCCCGTTCCGAAGTCTGCTGCGAGTTAGTTGGTGCGAGGCTCGTTTTAGGTGTAGTATGAGGTAAGGTTCAGGGGTTAATCAAATCTTGGCAGAACAATTTCGTACGACCGGATGGCTGTTGTTCTGCGATGACGGGGCATGAACATTTGGCAAAAAGGCTAGGCTTAGTTATCAAGGTCCTGGCAGGAATCGAACCTGCGTTGACGGAAATCAGACATAAGACAACGAACATCAGAATCCGTAGTGATAACCGCTACACTACAGGACCATTAGGCACACAAAGCATAACGTAATCATTATTGCTGTATGCACGACAGACAGCGCAATAAGAACCAGCGAAGAATGTTTGCGAGCAAGAGTGCCACAGATTGTACTGTTCCCTGGAACGCCGCAGTATTCCCAGTTGTCACTCTCAGATCAGGCTGAAGGGGTGCCGCAAGCCTTTCTACGGGCTTTAGGGGCTGGCTGGCCTTCAGGATGTACTCACACATCTCTACCGCACATTTCATGCTTGTTTACGCAGGAAACTGGCAATGAGCCCTGTCTTTGCGCATGTGGCGGACTATACACAAGTCGCTGATGTCGTCACTGACACGCCAGCTTGTGTTTGCCACGAGGGCCAAGGCCATCAACCGGAATCGTCGCTAGGGAAAAGACGATGCAGGCAATATGAGGAATTGTAAGGGCGAATGGATTGATCCCCCCCAAGCGGGCGATATGGCACGTCGAGGTCGTGTAATCGCAGGTTGTGGTCTGCAACGGAGTCCATACCCAAAAGTTCTATGGAAGTGGAAAGGAAGACTCACCGACGTTCCTGCGAAGGTCACAGCTGCACATTTCCCACCTCGTCCCGCTGACACCGCAGCCAACGGTAATTTCCTCCTGTCTGAGACACCAGCGAGGCGTAATTACCAATAGGAAGTGCGTATAATACAACCCAAGCAAAACCTAGTTCAACAGCCCTTTCGCCTTCAAAAACTCACAAGCCTCCACATTCTCTTGATCGATCTTTGTCACTTCCTCCCAGTCCGTCCCGATCCCGAACAACCCGATCTTAGCTTCGCGCCGCCGTCGCTTCGAGTCCATCCCCCGCTGACACTCCGCGTACTTCTGGTGAGCGTACGTGCGGTCGACGTGCTCCTCGAAGCGCATGAGCGCTGGCGCTTTACCTTTGTTCGAGTCGCTGCGGGCCAGTTCGGCGGCGATTGGGTGCGTAGCGAACTCGGCGCTATTGACGTGGTACGTGACGCCGAGGCCTGATGTGTGACGCTCCACATTAAACCGCGTCGAAGGCGTGAACGCGAAGTGCGGGTCCGGCGGAGGGCTGGTCGAGAAGACGCTCGGAAGGGCAGAAAAGATGGTGAATGCAAAAAGGATGAGAATCGGGAGGAGGTTCGTGAGGAGCTGCCGAGGCGTGAGTGGTTCCTGCTGTTGCGGCGCACCACCGCGCTGTCGTGGACCGTTCGTGTAAACGCGCGTTGTCGTAAAGCCACGCTGCCCGAAGCTCGCAAAGACTATGAGAGCGTAAGCAACGGACAGTAACCCACAAACTCTGGCACGCACCTGGTGCACCGCCAAACGTCGTTCCCTGTCCACCCATCCCGCTGCCGAAGAACATGTTGAACAGATCCTCGGGGCTGATCTCGCCATCGAAAGCCATTCCACCACCGCCACCAAAGGGACTCCCATTTGCAAAAGATGCTGAGGACGCGCGAGATGACATGCCGGAGAACCGGGATTCTGGGTCGGAGCCGTGCCGGTCGTACTGGGCGCGCTTGTCGGGGTCTACGAGGGCAGACGTCAGTAGCTGATATGGGATTCCGTGGAGATGGTATTTGCACAGCCAAGTGCGAGGTAGTCGGACGGAGTAGCACTTCGAACGGCAACGTCTACGTATTGACGGAAGCCTTGAGCTCGACAACGAGATTAGCGAGTGCTCTAGTACTCCAGCACAAGCACAAATCACAGACTAGAAAGCAGCGCATTGCACACGTCTGCATACAAAGTTGTCCGTTGCAGAGAAATAGAACACTTGACGTACCCGATAAGACTTGAAATGCTTTTGACACCACTAGACGCATCACCGTCAGCCAGCTACTATACGAGCGAGAACATGCAACGCACTTTTAAACGCCTCGTCCGCGCCCGGCGCACCGTTCTTATCCGGATGCAATGCCAGAGCCAGCTACGCATCGCACTCCTCAGCAGCCCGTCTCAAGAACTAGATGTGCAAAATGACGCACCTTGCGATACGCCTTCTTCACATCGCTCTCTTCACAGTCCCGCTTGAGATCAAGAATCCCATAATATTCTGTCACCCGACATGCCCGAACGCGCTTCACAACAGCAACATTTTCCGCAGTGTACTCGCGTTTCTTCTCCGGAGCTTCCTTCTCTTTCGTACGATGACGTGCGCCTGCCGCGGAAGGATGCGGCTCGGATGCTGTCGAGGACGCGGCGGTGAAGGATGAGGAAGAGGAGGAATCCGGAAGGGAGTCGAGGAACCGTTGTGCTTCGGGCGTCGCAAAGAGTGCGAGCGACTTGTTGGCGAGCTTGCGGGCACCTACAACGTCGCCTGTATCCCGCTTGCGCTGAGCGAGAGCGAGCGCGCGGAGTGCCTCATCTTTGTTGCTCTCCATCCTATTCCCGAGTCCCTGACCGTGTAAAAGAAATTCGCTTGCCTTTGTCGGCAACGAAGCGGAGAGAGGAGATGAAGTAGGGAGCGCTGAGCGGTGGTAAGCGAGTAGGCGACCGTCCCTGAAGGGAAGCACACGCGGCGTGCGACGTGTTCACACCCAGCGCTTACACCGCAGCCCCGCCACATTGACCAACTCCGATTACAAGCTATTTCTACCAAAAACAGAACTACATGAACCCAGCAGGCCTAGTAGCAGAAGGACGACAAAGACAGACGAAAGGTGGAGGAAACGTAGTGCGATTGTTTGTTTGTTTGTTTCAGTGCACTTCATTGTGTGTCGAGGAGTAGAGCCCCACAATAGACATTGCGCATATAAACCACAGTGAATCGTGGTGAGCATTGGTAGACTGGTTGACGAGCGGCCTCGTAAGGGTTGTGAGGTACTCGGCTGACTTAGCAGACTAACAATGGTGCGTAAGACGAACCGGGACGTTGGCGGTCGGGTCGCGAGGCGACAATCAAACGTCATGCGCAGAGTGGACATGGTTACACGATATTGGTACCTGCTTTCGCGGTTAGCTCAACTGCGTTCTTAAATATGCCCAGTAGTGCAGTCAACTGCAGCTTCTCGCTTGCACCACTCGCCAACCTGTGCCTATATGAGTATGTTAGCTTAAGTTGGATAAACATAGAGGTGACACATACTCAATAGTTGCAATTTGGTCGAGCAAATATATCCGCGCTGCCGGCGGGAACTCGATCGTCTCGACGTACTCCGACGCGCCGACAAGTAGATCTTGCAATGCCAATCCTCGCTCCGTCTTTAGCGCATTAATTACTGCACAGAGATCAATGTTGACAGGTGCGCGGGCTGCAAAATAGTGAACGCACGGTTGTACGAGGTAAGGAACTCGTCACTAAGCATCGAGTTGACGACGGTCTCGATGTCTACCGGTAGAGGATTGCCTGTGCACGCGTAGACCTCAGTTTCCCCAGTCCTGTCGTAGGCGGCGTGGCATGCTTGCAGCACACTGAGTGCTCTCCGCATGTCACCTTGGCAGAGCTTCAGTAAGGCGCGCTTGCCGTCATCGGTAAGGTTCACGCTGTGACGCGGGTAAGCCATGAGTGGTGGGTAGCACAAAAATAGGAAGCGTTTCAAATAATAGAGGCTTACTTCTCAGCTTCAGCGACATGCTCAACTCTCCTCTCGACCTCGGACATCGGCAGAGGCGAAAAGCGGAAACGAGTGCACCGACTTTGGATGGCCGGAACAATCTTATTGACGTAGTTGCAGATGATACAGAACCTGACGTTACGCGTATACTGCTCAATGACGCGCCGGAGAGCTGCTTGTGCGGCGGTGGTCATCATGTCAGCTTCGTCGAGGATGATGAGCTTGTAACCGCGGGCGAAGAGTGTGCGCGTCTCGGCGAACTGTTTTATCTGCTCGCGCACGACGTCAATTCCGCGGTCATCTGACGCATTCAGCTAATGGCAGCCTGTTAGAAGACACGATTCTGGACAAGGAGAGGGTGCACTTCAAGGATCTGTTTACGGAAATTGGGCCCGTATATTCGCCTTGCAACTGCCAGTATGGTTGACGTCTTTCCTGTACCAGGAGGTCCGTAGAAAAGCAAGTGAGGTAGTCTGTTCTTCTCGACGAACTTTTCTACTGTAGGGGCGCGTCAGACTGAATGAGCACCACTTGAAGGTGTCACGTACTAGTTGTTGTAATATCTTTATGAGAGACAACGTCATCAAGGGAGACCGGGCGATACTTCTCGACCCTTGAGATGCGTTAAGACGCAAGAAGCACGCATATAGTAGATGACATTGTGGCGCACCATGGTAGTGTCTCGTCCTGCTCCCGCTCCATTTCATCGCTTCTGTCGACGCCCTTGCCCTTGGCCTTTGCCGATGGTCTGATCTCGTTGTCAGATCCCATTTCCTGGTCGCTGTCCATGGCTAAGGTGTTTCGGGGGTAGCAGTTCTGTGCGGTGCGACACGTCCAGTAGGGTTTCGACGCGTCTGACGCGTTCACGCGTCGAAGGCACGAACTATCACGTGCGGCTTCTCATGCTAGTCCGGCGATTGCCGGCGCACGGACCATCGACAAAGATTAGAGCAACTGAGTAATCTGCAGCCTTTCCTCAACCGTCTCTTTCGACGACTCCACCCCGTTGCTGGACAGACAGAGGCGTCGGTGCGTGCTTAAGCTGCTTCTTTTTTTCAACATGTATTCATATTTCTTCTTCAGCTAACCATGCAGGTGCGGTTGTGTACAAGTTTACCTGGCTGCGCGTTTTTTACAAGTTGTCTCGCAGATTTTCGTCAAGACCCTCACGGGCAAGACCATCACTCTCGAAGTCGAGTCTTCGGACACGATTGACAATGTTAAATCCAAGATCCAGGACAAGGAGGGGTGTGTTAATTTATCGTCGCCTTTGCAGACACATGTTAATTTGGTCCTCCGCCCCGTAGTATTCCCCCGGACCAGCAGCGCCTGATCTTCGCGGGAAAACAGCTTGAAGACGGCCGCACCCTCTCCGATTACAACATTCAAAAAGAGTCGACTCTCCACCTTGTCCTCCGCCTACGCGGTGGTGCTAAGAAGCGCAAGAAGAAGACCT